GATTGATTCATGCGGTCAGCCTTTTGAAAAACCTTTTTAGCTTTTAAAGGACTAGTAAGTGGTCTTAAAAGCAATTCTTTCTTAACTATTTTTAAGGGAAGAAAGTTTCCCAACAAACATGAAATTTTGAACGTAAACTTGATTGACTTATAAAAGGAAAGCTAACTCTATAACTTTTACAAAACGCGCTGCAATGTCTCATAGTAACATAAACATAACATCTATCTTAAACTATAATAAAACAAAAAGATGACTATATTGTAAAGACGACAACATATTTACTTTAAAAAACTCCGTTTCAAACGCACTATTTTACAATTTATATACAATTTTTGGAAATTAACAAAACTTCCTAGGGATAATTATGTGCATGTACACAATTTTCCTACAAGAGTTTGTATGTATTTATGATAGCTATGCACATGTACATAATAATTCCAAGGAAATTTTCAATTCATTTTTGATAATTATGTACATGTGCATGATGTTTATCCAAAGGGAGCTTGGTATGATTTTTATATATCATAAACTTTTTTTTTTAAATTTTATCCCAATTAGCACTAAATTAATTTGCCAGAGCTAGCAAGCCAGGTCCGGGGAAACTCGTGGGATCCAGTTTAGTGCCTTAGCTGACGTACCAGAACTACCTAGCCATTGTTGTTTCATAGACGTATCTTTAAAGGCTCGCCGGCGAAGGTGCAAAAATGCATTGCGCAAAATGTTTTTGTAGATGTAAATTTTACGGAAAGAAAAATGTATTTACGTTTTCATCTAAGTATATAATTGTCATTATATCACATCCTTTACATTTAATAATCTTGGTTTTAGTAATAAGCTATTGGAAAAAAAAAGAAAAAATTCGAGAAGAAATTAAAATTATTTTATTTTTACTTTTATTTATTTTTTTGTCCAAAATCAATCAAAGGGAAATTGTTATTGATGAAGCTTGTACTATAATTACATAAACAAAACTGGGTTTTATTTTCCTCAGCTATTTGACAAATTGACCAAAACAGTCGTTCAAAGCAATTGCAAAAAACATGAGTTGAACATTTCAGATAATGAACCTTCGAACACCACTGCTCAGGATATTTCTTATCAAATTGATAATGAAATTAATGAAATTGAAGTTTGATCTGATAACGATTGAGATAAAAGTGATAAGAATAATGTAATAGATGAACTAGAGGGTGATGTAGCATTTTGATCTTCTCAGCATCACACAACAAGAATTCACTGATTTAATTTGCTGATCTAAAACCAGAGTTGCTAAAATTTTAAAATTGAATTTAAATTTATGTTTTTTATGTATTTGAATATAACTAGTTATATATATATATATATATTTTATGCTATATTTTATATGATCTCATCATCATCATCATTATCACCACCTTTATTTTCCTTTGTTCTATATATTTATTTAACCTTAATTATAGTTCTTTATTATTTCTTTATTTTTAATTTGGTGTTGAGTCAAACAAGTACTTCACTAAGTTTTAATTATTTTATTGTTGACTAAAGTATACACTTATTAACTCCGTTAATTTTTAGCCTTAAAATTAATTTTACTGAACGTCACAATATCTTAAGGATTATAACTATTTTTTAAAACGCTTGTATGTAATAATAAAACATCTAACACTTTATAAACACGCTTTGGTAAAACATTCAGAAGAATCTAAAAATAGTTATCAACAATTCGCGGGTTGCCTGCGTTGGCCCTAAATTAAATCGATGCTGGCTTGCCACTAGCCAAACGTTGGTGCGCCAGCACTGGCTTGCGTATACCGGCCCGTTGCAAAAAAATTGAGCAACCCAGCGCTGGCACAGCACTGCCAGACCTGGTACTGCTTGGCAGCCAAGCCTGGTTTGCTATTGGGCCAAGTAGTGTCTGCTTACTTGGATATAACATGTATACAATGATATCATAATAGCTTATTCAAATAAGTAATTTAAGCATATGAGCATCAAAACAAAAGACAACTAATTACTAAAATTTTGATGTGTTTTTAATGTATTTTTATGTATTTAAAATTAGCAATAAAAATGAAAGAATCAGTAATGTTTAAAATGTTTTATTTCGCATATTAACTTTGTAATCATGGACTTTGTTTTTTTTTCTGAACATCTGCGTAAAATAAAAGTTTAAAATGAGCTTACTTGTTGTTAACTTACTTGTTGTTAACTTACTTGTTGTTAACTTACTTGTTGTTAACTTACTTGTTGTTAACTTACTTGTTGTTAACTTACTTGTTGTTAACTTACTTGTTGTTAACTTACTTGTTGTTAACTTACTTGTTGTTAACTTACTTGTTGTTAACTTACTTGTTGTTAACTTACTTGTTGTTAACTTATAAAAATGTATAGAATAAAAGTAGTTTAAAATCTTTAAAAAAACCAAAAAAAAAAAACTTTGGGTGGGGGGGGGGGGGGAATTAGGACTAGAGTTAGGGTTTTTAAGCTGAAACTTGAAATTTTTACGCTACCCATAACTGGAAAACAGCAGGGAGAACATTTTTTACTTTAGTTTTTTCGGAACACCCTATTCGATATTTTTAACAAATTCCATTTGGGAAACAGTTATCATTTAATTTGATATTGTCAATGAAATGTTTTTTAATTCTCAATAAAACTACACTTTCATCCTTCTTGTATTTTACTTAACTTTGTCTATGTTACTTATATTAAATTTAATTAAGTTTTGCATTTTACTTAAATTAAATCTTGTATTTTACTTAAATTTTTTTCTTTTTCAAAGCAAATTAAACCGAGGTTACTCCTACATTCGGTTTGAATACGGCCTTTTTTAAGTGAAATAATTATTAATATTTAAACTTTCAAAGCACATCTAACGATATTGCAAACGCAACACGTAGCCAAACACAAATTTCAATAATGCATAAAAATCAAAACTTGTTAAAACTAAATGTGGTTTTTAATTAACCAATTTTAAATATATTAGCAAAAACGAATTATTTTAAGTGTGATTCAAATTAACGTGACACAAATTAAAACACTTGTATGTATTGTAAAATAAAACATCTAGCACTTTATAAACACGTAAAACATACAGAAGAATCTAAAAAGAATTATCAACAAAGGAGCGAAAGTCTTTGAATTTTTCCTCATAGTTTTATTTAGCTCTGGGAGAATGGTACAAGGTATCCAAATATCACGAAAATTATTCAAAATATTTTAATAAATCTATTGTTACATATAACTTTCGTCATACATTCTTTTCTAAAAGTCTTACTTATCAAACTGATTTTATTCTTTTCATATTTATTACAAATAAAATTTATCGATAAATTTTAAATTTCATTCCAAAAAAAATATGCCGTTTAAAATTTGTGACCTTTTAAAGTTAATTTTTAAAGTTAATTGGGGAATAATAAACTGTGAATAATAAAACTTTTTTAACGAAAAGAGATTTTTAAACACTATCTTCAACACTAAAAATTCAGGACTAGCTTGTTTAAACCCCTTAAATATTTTTAGATATTGACAGAATTTTTTTTAAAATCTAGATCATAACAGAACAAGTTACAAATTTAAACTTTTCATACTTAATTTTTAGATGATAAAAAAATTTACGCAAAAAACTTTTAAAAAAGAACTATAAATTATGCTAATTTACTAGATCCTCTCAAAATTATTGTAGAATATAAGTAAATTTACTTAATAAATATATATTACTTTTAATTTACTTTAAAAATTACATAAAACGTATGATTATGTTTTTAAAATTTTGTTTTATATTATTTATTTTTAATAAAAATTTGTTATTACTTATAAAGTAAGAGGTCTCCTCAAAAAATATTATTTTATTTGTAAATATAATTTACATTTAGAAGCGTATTACTTTTATGTAATTCATTTTAATTTTCTTTTTCTTTTTCACAATTATGGTAACTTTTTTTTTTTTATTTATTTATTTTTGTATATTATTTAATATATTTACAGGTTTTAAGTTACTCTATAATGTACATTTTTATTTTATGAATGTTAAATTAATAAATCAATGACGTAACTAGATTTTATAGTATTATGAACAATAGGATCTAAAAACAACAATTTTTTAGTTCTTTATACCAATTAAAAGTCATTTACAAAGGATATTAAGAACTATAACATCAAAACTGATTTATGAGTTTAGTAAATAGGTTTTATTTAATAAAAGGTCTCAATTGAAAGTCTCAAAAGAGTCAATGTCTAGACGCTCTAGAAATACTCTATAAGTTGTAGTTTAAACAAAAAAAGTATTTAAAAAATAGTTTTGTTATTTAATAATTTATAACATAACAAAAAATGTGATTAAAAAAATTTTTTTAGAAATTCTGAATTTCCTTTACTTGATGGGTTTGTAAGGCTTTATATTTTACACAAATAAAAATAAACCTTTTTAAAACATGTTCTTTACTTTTTATTTGCCAAAAGTTAACCAAAAAAGCTTCAAGTTACAAAAATACAGCCCTTTTTTTATGTTAAATACTTTTAAACTGTCTAGTCGGATAATTTTTTAAGACTCTCTATATGTGCAATAAACTTCATTGAATATGTTGTATTTACAATTACAAATGTTATATTTCAATTACATATGTTATATTTCAATTGCATATGTTATATTTCAATTGCACATGTTATATTTACAATATAAACATGAAATTTATTGTAAACATACAAGTAAAACTTATTGCATACATGAAAGTAAGGTTAATTGTAAATATAAAAATTAAATTTATTGTAAACATACAAGTGAAGTTTATTATAACCATAAAAGTGAGATTTATTATAAACATAAAAATAAAGTTCTGATGTTACACATAAAGATATACCAATACCTTGAATTTAAATCACGGATGTAATAAGTTAGCACGATAAATTTATTCAATAGCACTCAAGGTATGGCTGATATAAAGCTATATTTCACAATAAACAAAATGGAGATATTTATACATGTTTACTAAGTTTATCAAAATTTAATATGATTTTCTTACTAAATACATCTGCAGTTGTATTGCTTACCATCCAAGCTATGCAAGTCTATAAATAAAAATGATAGTTTTAATAATTTAGAAATAATTGTTCTAAATAATTTTAAACAGTAAAATGTACATATATATATATATATATATATATATATATATATACATATATATATATATATATATATATAAATATATATATATATATATATATATATATATATATATATATATATATATATATATATATATTTATATATATATATATATATATATATATATATATAAACATATATATATATATATATATATATATATATATATATATATATATATATATATATATATATATATATATATATATATATATATATATATATATATATATATATATATATATATATATATATATATGTCCTAAATGGTCCCTATATATGATACTATTAAAAGAATTGTTTTTAATATATCATAATGGGTATTAAAAGAAGCCAAACTTTATAAAAATTGAATAATAAAAAATTTTTTTTATAAAAATAAATAAAATAAGATCTTTTTAAAAAAACCATAAAAAAAATAACGTACTTAAATTTTTAATTAACATTAATTACTATAGTTTTTAAAGTATAAAATATAAACCAACAATCTATATGAAAGGTGTCCGGATTGTCAATATTTGAAATTTTTTTATTAATTCGCTCTACAGATCATAGACAACTTTTAGTATTAAATTTGAAGCCAAATAATAAAAAATAAGGATTCATTTTAGGTATTTGAGAATACCTCTCCTACGTAGAAACAAGAAATATTACACTGTTGTTACCTCAAAACTAGGAATGCCACAATTTTCGTTTTAATCAGAAGATATACGACAATAAAACATAGCAGAAACACATCCTGAAAATACTAAAAACCTAAACACGTTAAGCAAATTGAAAAACAAGTCAATAAGTAAAAAAATTAAGCTTTAAAGTCGTAAAATGGCAATTCTTATAACTGTATTCGTGTGAAATGTTTTCAAGTTGTTAGTTTGCAAGATAGACAGAAAAATAAAGTTAATGATTATACAATTAAATATTGGGTCTAATATATTTTCTTAAAGCAAGAGCATATTTTTGAACTTGTCAACTGATAAACTATTTTAAAATTTAAAAAAATCGAATTTTTTTTTGAGTATAATAATTTTAGTTATTAATTATAACCTCACTTGTTGCCAGGTCAATATAACCAGGATTATGTTGTCATACCCATTTTTCACACTGAGTTCAGTTTCCGCATAATTCAAAAACAAGACTGTATACTTTTATTTACATAAATGCTACCTAAGTACCATAGAGGAAACATATTACCCGTTTTCATAGTTTTACTAAAGACAAAATGATAGCATCATAAATCATGTTCAATCTTTTAAAGGACAGAAGTCTCATTACTATCTCAAAGAAACAAGGAAACTCATCCTTCCAGAGGATCTAAATCTTTGCAAGATGCTTGCTATGCACTTAGAAGGTCACCCAGGCCAATCCTGTTTCAAAGACAGTTAAAAGTAAACTTGTTTGTTTTGTTTTTCTTTAAGAAAATATGTAAATAATCAAATTATTTTAGAAATAACAAAATATTATTTCATAAGGGTATTATTTCATTATTACTTATTCTGAAATTAAATTAAAAAAATTATTCTGGGTTATTTTTTTGATTTATTTATTTATAACATTGTAAATAATTCTTATTATAAAGTTTTAAAGTTTTACTAGACTTATTTCTTTTTATTGAATAGACGGATCTTTAATTATTTAATTAAAAAATTGCTTTCGGCTACACAAAGAAAGACACATGTTCAACATGCGATAGATTTAAAATATTGTTGTCAGGAAGCTGACAACAATATTTAAAATTTTAGGCTGAACGAGAGCCTCACTGGAGGAAAGAACAAATTTTTTATGGAAGTAAGACTCCTGCTTTACACGGAGCACACTCTTTGACCAAGTTTTCCGCAGTTGCCTTTGATTGTCAAAAGAACATATCTTGTTCTAACATTACAATAAGTGACGTATACTATAGACAGCTATTTTTGTACACCCTTTATTTTACATAACCTGGGTATTAATAAGGTTATTCTGGGTTAATAAGGTTATCCTTTAAATAACATTAATTAAGGAATAATGCACATCAATTTTAGAAAAAAAGTTGAAAAGATAAAATGTAAAAACATAATTTTAATAAAATCATAATTCTAATATAAACTGAATAAGGTGTGCCCCAAAGAGGCCGTACTTGATCCCCATTTGCTTCTAATTCATATAAAAAATCTTCCAAATGCCTCAAACAACTTTAAAACTATAATGTTTGCAGATGATACTTATTCTGCATCTCAACAACAATCGAAAACTTATTTAAAAGATTAAATATAGAAAAAACTATTTACATACTATTTATTTATTATTATTCTAAACACATGCTATTTTACTTTAATAAACATAAAAATAAGATTTTTCACCAATTTTCAACAATTAAAAAAAAGCATAACTATTGAAAGTAGTTAGAATACCAAATTTTAAGGAATATCGTTGATGAAATTATCTCTTGGAAAACCGATTTAAATAAAAACACACAAATATCTAATAATATAGGTTTACTCAACAAAGCAATACTATTGTTATTTATTTATGTCAATACGTATGCCAATATGATGTACATAACTCCCTTTTGTTGTAATTTTGTATATAACTTCCGTATGTATGCCAATATAGCATGGGGCAGTACTTACAAATCAAATCTAGAACCGTTATATTTATGTCAAAAATGCTCATGCTCAGCCTTTGTTAAAACAAACAAAAGGAGCTGTGGCGCAGTTGTTCGAGTTCTGGCAGAGAACCCATAGGTCCGAGGTTTGACGGCGGCTCTAACTCAATAAACGACATTGGTAAAAATGGATGCGTGAACTTCTAGTTAAGATCTCTTCTAGTGAAGTTAGGACTTCTGGGAACACCTAAATAACTACAACAACAACAACAACAACAAAAAAAGCAAAAAAAAAAAAAAATATCTTTTAAATAAATATTTATCAAAATATCCTGTTTATGTTTAAATACAAACTAGATCTGGTTCGAGACAATTATGTAGCAAATTTTTTGAAAAAAACCTGAACAAATAAGACAAATAATACAAGAGCGACATGAAAACATAAATAACCGATTGAAACAAAAACAATTCCCAAGATTTTCGATTTCTTATCGAGGTCTCTAATTATATATCAAAAAACTGTCTAATACCAAATCACTGATAAACCTAAATAACGAAAACTCTTTAAAAAAAAATCTTATTATTAAATTAAACAATTATAAGGAGTTTTAAAATTTTACTTTCAATCAAAACAAAAATTGAAGCTAAAACTAAAATGTTATCTAACATTAAAGAAAAATAAAAAGGTAGTATAACAACTATTTTTATAAAAAAAAATTTAAAATGATCATTACATCAATTACAAAGTGAACTGACTTGTTATGTTGTACTACACGTCTAGTATTAAAGAACTCAATGGCAAGACTGATTTCTGCGAGCTTCCTATGGCTACATACGCAACGCAGTTAAGGCGAATTGGTAAAACTATAATCGAAATTCTTTTATCCTTATCTTTGACAATCTGTACCTTATGTTTTAGATAAAATGAAATAACGAAACATTTTTTTTTTTATTAAATACAAATAGTTCTTTTTTATATTTTTTTTATTCTGCATGTACAAAAAAAAAAATGTTTTTGCACATGCAGAATTTAGAACTTTTCTATAGTCTTTCTCTATGGATTTTGCTGAGATTTGCTTCAAACTGTTTTAAATAAGAATTAAAAAACGTCCTTAATTTGAACATGATTATAGACTAATGAACATGATTATAGATTAAAAGAGCTAGAATATTTACGAAGTGTTTAAACACATAAACTTTCTACAAACCCTTTTTTTTTAAAAAAAAAAAAAAATTTCATATATTTTGTTATAATTTTTGCCTTAGAAAGTTACAATTTATAAAATAAGATAAATTATAAAAGAATTGGCTGGAGCAAGAAGAAGACATCAGTTTTTCTTATCACCGAGCCCCATTGTGACTTCATTACAGGTTGTTTTTTTACAATAAAATAAATAAAATCGTGATAAATGCTTTTGACAAAGTATATAAAAGTGTGCAAAACTACGTTTCATAATTGATATAACTGTTTATATATAAATTCGTATTGTAAAATAAATTTAGAATAAGTAAAAGTTAAAGCAAATAAAAGAAATAAAATATGCTAGTTTATATTATTTTACTAAAAAAGAAAAAGAAAATTTCGTAGATAATAAAAAACGCATTGATTCAGATTTAAACTGTTCAAGTGTATTTTTTTTGATAGTTACAATCTGGTGAAAAAATTTCCAAAAAAAGGTCCGGGGTGTTGGATTCAGTATGAAATAACTTTAATGTAAATTTTGGGATGACAAAGTTGTTATATGAGAATCTAGTAGGGTATTTATGACTTAATTCTCTAAAATAGGGTTCAAATATTGAATAGTTCATATTTAATTTTGTACATAAACTGCAAAACAAGATTTATGTTAATTTTGTATATATTCAACGCTCCAAGTTTGCATAAAAGAGGTTCACATGAAATTTTTTTACTTACTCCAAAGACAATTCTACAGGCATATTTTTTTTACTGTAGAGGTTTTTAAGTTTAGTATAGTTTGTGCTTGCCCAGGCCAAGTTACCATAGCTTAAGTGACTATGTATTAATGAAAAGTATAAACCTTTTAAGACAATGATATTTAGGAAAGGTTTTGCTTAATACATTAGTGAAATATTTCTTGAGAGCTTTCTCTCTAAAGTGCTTATACGGAACTTCCACGACAAATTTTCATCCAAGAACACACCTAGAAAGTTTCTCTTTTTATATTAGTATTATTTATTTTTAGATCAGGTAGTTTAAAAGTAATATTTTCATTTTTATTTGGTTTATGAAATAGGATGAATTTGATCTTTTTGGCATTCAAAGAGTGTTTGTTATACCTAAATCACTCGTTTATTTTATGTAATTCTTTGTTAACTATGTTAAAAAGTGTCTTTATGTGATTAAAACGAATTGAAGTCATCAGCAAACAAGATTAAATTTAATAATTTTGATGTTAAATTTAATCATTTATACAGAGTAAAAATAATAATGGTCCCAAGATCGAGCCAAGGGGAACCCTGCAAGTTATGGCGGTATTTGTTGTGTTTGTTGTTTCATACTGAATATATTGCTTTCTGTTTGATAAATAATATTTAAACCAAAGTAAGTTATTATTTTTTACTCCATACACTTCGAGTTTTCTTAGAAGAATGTCGTAATTTATGGTGCCAAAAGCTTTAGAAAGATCAATAAAAACTCCTAACGTAAAGCAATTATTACTAAAAGCATTAGATATTTGATTAACTATCTCAATTATAGCATGGTCAGTTATATGTTTTTTTTTCAAATCCAAAATTGTTTACAGTATAAAAAATTGTTTTCCGTCAAGTAATTGTAAACTCTATTATACATGACGCGTTCTAGTAATTTGCAAAAACATGGTAAAATTTTCACTTAATTTTTCACTTTCACCTAATCTTATTTTTTACTTAATCTTATTTAATCAAATTTTTCACTTAATCTTATTATGTTCTCAAGATAATAAGTTAAAGTAAACAAAAAAAAAAAAAAATTAAATGTTGGTAGTTGTGGCATTTTTTATTCTAGTTCCTCGAGGATTGTTCATTGAATAATAGTCTTTGCAACATTTAAAATAATTCCAGCATCGAGCACTGTCCTCACTTAAAAACAGTACTCAAAAGGTTTCAGTGGTTTGGAAATTTTAATCAGGGTTTTATAATAAACTACAATAATATTATATCAAACTATATAGCATACCGAAAATGATTGGCATATTAAGTTTCAAATAAATTTTAAAAGATTGCTTGTTGTCCATAGTTAGTTCTTTAAACAACCGTTTATCTTGCAGATATTTTACTCAAAGGTAAAAGATAAAAACTGTTTGAAAGATAAATCGGGGATACACTAAAAAAGACCAATATGTCAAAACTATGTTTTGATCGCCGTGTTGTAAATTAAAGCAAAAATAAAGTCATTCAACCGGTGACTTCAATAGTAACAAAGCTATTTAAACTATTCTGCAGCCATTTTTAAAACCCCTTAAAGCGAAAAATACTAAACTTGACTTTTTTTACAAAATAGTCTGATGCAGATGCCTACAAACGTTATTAAATAAATATTTTTGAATAATTTTTCAATATAAAAAGTTTTACTTTTAAAAAACGTTTTACAAAGAATTACTCCTAATAATTTAAATTTAATAGCAATATTCTCGAAATACATAATTAAGTATTGCAAGGGGTTTTTAAAAACAGCTCTACAATATAAAATACAACGATTACATAACGCTAACATAACGGTAAGGGGCTATCCATAAAGTACGTGCGCTCAAAAGGGGAAGATGGGGGATTTTTAAATAGCGTACGAAAGCGTATGGGAGGGGTTCAATATAAAAGTGTTAATACGCACTAATAAAAAATATTTATTAGTAAAGTTTGTGTTTTCTAATTTATCCCAACTAACAAGTAATTGTTAAAAACGAATAAATAAAAACTTTAAAATATGTATGTATATCCATGAAATAAGGTTTGCTAAAACAAGTTAAGGACATATGCACATAAAGTTTTTAAAATGAAAAAGTAAAAATATCAATATTTCGTATCGCAAAAAAATGTAGAAATAAATTAAAGAGTAATTAGGGAGTTATTAAGAAGTAAATAAGGTGATAAAAAAGTCATTGATGACCTAGTTATATAGAAAAAAACGTTAGAATTCTGGAAATTTTTCGGGACGATAAAATAAAAAGTCATCACCTTATAGAACAAGTGTCGCAAAAAAAAAAAAAAAAAAAAAAAAAAAAAATTGTCAAGTATCTTCCTACTTAAGTATCTATGTAAATTATTACCGAGAAAGTCTAAACAACCGCAAATAAAGTAAAATATTATCTATTTTCAATAAACATTTTTGGAAAAGAACATTTAATTTTTTTTTTTTAATCGGAAATATAAAATAAAGAAATCTTTGTTAAGTTGCTACTGTCAGCAAACAATATGGTTCAAATTCTTTTTGAAACTATACAAAGATTGTTTACATAGACTAAAAAAAGCAAAGTAAAATATAATCTGCTATCTTTAGAATATCAAAAAATTAATGAAATTCAAGCATAGCATATTTACTGGCTTAGCCCATCATTATTAATTAGAAGTTTCAGCCGGGTTTAGTGAGAGTTAACAGAAGTTTAGTTATTCCAAATTTTAAAAGTTATGCTTTAGCAAATCAAGCCACTAATAAATTAGCAATTAATGTTTATAGATTAAAAGATTGAGATTCGCCTTTAGGCGCAAAAACATTGGAGGACCAGTAAACAAAAACATGTATGGAGGATTACAATTAACAGAAGGGTTGATGCGGATATCTTTTAAGGAAACTTAATGCTTTTAACGCTTATAAACAGAATATACACCAAGTTTTGCTATTTATGCGTAAAACAAATCACGGTCAAAATTCTCAAGAATACCCCACTTAAGTTTTAAATGATAGTTTTGTTGCACCTCAAATATTACTTATAAATAAGATCTTTGCAAATAAAATATCGCGGACCATTTCTAAAGAAAAAAAATTGTTAAAAATATTTTTAAGAATAAAACTGTTTTAAAAAACTCTACAGAATAATTCACAAAAAAATCTAAACGGTTCTTATTGAAAAAGAAGGTGATTTTAGATTTCATTGAAAAAAATTGTGAACAAAATTAATAAACTGGAAATCACCACACACTTATTTTGTCTAGATTTTATTTATTTCATGAGGTAATAAAAAACTTATAATATTGTTTATTTTTATCTAATTTATTTAACATTTATTTATTAGTTACCTGTAATTAATAGTATTGTGTTTTTTTAGTTTTTAATATTAACTTAAATCTAATATTACTACTACAATATAAACTGAAAATAGTGTTACAATTATATATAATATATATTAAAGGATTAACTTCAATTCGAAAATTGAATCCGCTTTCGCACTAATTAGATATGGTACAACATTAACTATATAAAATTTTGCCCTTTCTACAAATGGCGGAATAAATTCCTATAAAATTCTGTTACACATCTAGTATATATATATATATATATATATATATATATATATATATATATATATATATATATATATATATATATATATATATATATATATATAATATATATATATATATATATATATATATATATATATATATATATATATATACATATATATATATATATATATATATATATATATATATATATATATATATATATATATATATATATATATATATTTATATATATATATATATGTATATATATACATATATATATATATATATATATATATATATATATATATATATATATATATATATATATATATATGTATATATATATATATATATATATATATATATATATATATATATATATATATATATATATATATATATATATATATATATGTATATATATATATATATATATATATATATATATATATATATATATATATATATATATATATATATATATATAAATCTGTTGAATGTAAATATTAAAAAACTTACCAAAAGAGTAGTATTTAAATTTATTTTCATTTTATCTTTAACTTCGTTAATCAATATAACAATATTGTTTTTAATTAAAAACTTCAAAGTCGAATGAAAAATAAAATTTAAAAAATATAAATCTTTGGCTTTTAGTGACGTACCTATGCTCTCGGGCCAGAAGTTTTCATTATTTATTATCTGTTTCATTAATATTTAATATATTGAACTTTTAAATAATTACAAACAAGAGTATTGCCAAATAGCACATGTCACATTTTTTTAACATATTTTCTTAAAGTAAATATATATTAGGATTATTAATTTTTAAATAAAAGGTAATACCGCAATAACTTAAATATTATTTTCGCGTTATACTTTTTTCACAAATTTAAATGGATTTGCACTTGAATTGACAAAATCAAACAAAAAATCAGACTGAACTTTGATTTTAGTGCCATTTTTTATTCTGGTGATACTATTAATGTTTTAAATTATAGATCAATCGCTATTTTTTAAAAACCGATTAGGTATTTAACCAAGCTCTTCTTCATTATTTGGTTAAGTAGCTCATAGATTTTAAAATATTTTTTATTAATTGCAACAAAAATTATGCAAATGTTACATTATGCAACCACGTTTCATTATGTAACTTACGTTAGTAAAATAAGTATGTTGCTTTGTAAACAAAAACATGGATGAAGAACTTTAACTAATGTTATTTTTTACACTTTAATTTTAACAAACTTAATATACTCAATGTTTTTTAATTTTATTAAATTTTTGTTTTTACAATCATAGTTAATTAAAAAAAAAAAATAGCACTCATCTTTGCGTTGAAAAAAAGATGGAAAATTTTAAAATGTAATTGGTAACCTTACTTTCTAAACAGTTGATTGGATTTTGTTAACAACTATTTGTACTATCAAGACGTAATCTTAACGAAAATTACGACCTAAGTAAGGAAATCGTTTATTGAATACCTCGATACTAGATATAAATAAGTATAAAAGTTTTAGTATAAAAATATCAAAGTTTTAGAAAATCTTTACTAGTTGTTTGAACCTTATCTTTTAATTACTCGTTTAGCTATAAATTTGCTATGTTTTTCAGCAACGTTTTTTTTTTGCAAACAAAATCATAGTGGAATAATTAAATAAAATAAAAAATAAAAAAAACATGAAAGTTATCAATCACAAAAAATTGCGTAAAGTTTTATTGCAATATAAACGAAATGTTTAGGGGTGATTAATAAATATCAACAAAATTTTCTTTGATATTTTTAATCAGCCCTAAATACTTATTTATTATATTTTTATGTTTTTGTCAAAATCATGAAAGTGTAATAAATTTAAATGATTTATTGAATTTAAAATCTTTTAAATTGTTTTTAAAAAAAATATTTAAAATCAAGTATATCAAAGGCCATTTTTAGTAAATGCCGTTTTGAATCAGCTTTAAAACTTTCCAAACAGTTAAAAACGAAGTCTTGTATTTTATTAAAAATATGAAGAAAATAATTCTTTATATTTTTCATGCTCCAACCTGACGTAGGAGAGGTTCGCAATGTGCATTCCTATTTGCTCTAAATATTATAATATAATATAATAGTGCTGTACACTTAAAGAGTGATGAGTCCAAACTACGTAGAGTTTGTAACTTTAACAGTGGTAACACACTAACATACAAACATAATAAAAGTTAGTATTTAAAAGTTTACTTAGTATTATCATGCAAGTATATTTTTGTTTCCTAAAATTTTTATTGAGTTTAGTTTAATTAGTGCTAACCCAGACAAGGCTACAGTACAGAAAGATAGCTGTGTATGAAAGAAAAATATATACATTTCAAAGATTAACTATTAGGAAACGGTTTTGTTTGATATAACAGGAAGTACTTTTTGTGATCTTCATCTAAAAGCACTCTTATAAAGTTTATAGCTAACTAACTTTTAACTATTATGTTATTAGTTATAAAGTTTATACTTAACTAACTTTTAATTATTATGTTATTGGTTATAAAGTTTATAGTTAATTAACTTTTAATTATTATGTTATTGGTTATAAAGTTTATAGTTAATTAACTTTTAATTATTATGTTATTGGTTATAAAGTTTATAGTTAATTAACTTTTAATTGTTATGTTATTGGTTATAAAGTTTATAGTTAATTAACTTTTAATTGTTATGTTATTGGTTATAAAGTTTAAAGTTAATTAACTTTTAATTAATATGTTATTGATTAAAATTTATAAAAGTTATTATTATTAAAATTTTGTTATTGATTGGGCAAATATAAACTTTGTTTTATCTACATTCAATGAAAGTCGGTTACTTATAAATTACTCGTTGATCTTATTTAATTCTTCGTTAAAAATATAAACAAGAGCAATAATAGCTTTGTAAGAATTTAATAAATTAATTCCATCAGCAATTAACATAATGCTTAATAACTTTGATGCTAAATATAGGTCATTTATATAAATTAAGAAAATATAATATAATAGAAAGCAGTAGTTCGAAAACTACGATTTAAATTAATAGTAATTTAATTTCACTTTGACAGCATATACATTGTGTATTTATTCTAGATAAAAGAATTAAGTTACAAATTAGAAACCATATAGCTCTAGATATTTATAAAAGCGATTTTTTAATAAGTTCAAGCTTCCGCTTTTGATGATAAATTCTATTAGTTTGTTCCACATTAATGAGACTCTATTTGTTAAAAATTGATGACAAATATTGCAGTTTTTAACTATTTCTTTTCTGATTTTGAAGTTATGGCCCCTTGTTTCCGGCTGGTATGAGAGAAAAATATTATAATCTAGTTTTACAATGTTTTTTTAAAAATATTTTGTACATTTAAATTAAGTTGCCTCTTTTACGTCTTTTTTCCACTGTACTTTACCAAGTACTTTAATTCTTATTTCATAACTTTGTTTTCGAATCTAGGTATTCATTTATCGGCATAACGTTGAAGTTTTTTAGTGCAATAATATCACTTTTAATGCATGAGCACCACGCTTTTATTGCAAAATCAAGAATGATAATAGCCCTAGTTAGAACCCTGGGGTACCCCACAAATCATTAGAACATTTTTTTGAATCTTTTGATTTTTTAAGCATAAATTGCTTCCTCAGGAAGCAATTTATTTTATATAGCAGGAAATTCCTGCTATTTAGATATGATTTTAACCAAAGTAAACTTTTGTTTTTAACACCATAATTTTTTATTTTTCTTTTAAAGTATTTTATGGTTTACTATGTATAAAGCTTTGGATAAATCAATAAAAAACACAATTGTATACTAACCACTATTAAATCTATTTGATAAATGTTTAACCAATTCAATTATTGCACGGTTACTAGAATGTTTTTTTAAAACCATGTGGAATAAAGTATAAAATCTTGTTTTCATTAAAATGTTAGCAAAGTCTAATTTTCTAAACTAAAAAATTAGTTTAGAAAATTAAGGCACAACTAAAGTAGGTCTCTAGTTTGAAATATTAGTCTCGTTCTCAGATTTGTAAATAGTTTCTTTTTTGAAATTTTTAATTTATCTGGAATATGACGCAATTTAAGTGAGAGATTAAAAATGTGAAGTAATAAAGGTTCGATAAAAACGGATTTAATTACATAAAAATTAATTTGATCAACACCTGCAGATTTTTTGAAAAGATTATTAAAAGCATTATGCAGTTCAATTTATTTAAAAATTAGTTTGTTCATAATTATATCAGTTGTTGTAAGTAAAGAACCAAATTCTTTCCCGTAGTGCACAACTCTGTTGATTCAGCGTTGATCTGATGATGTTGACTGGTGATCAACGGTGATCAACGAATTAACACTAATAAACTAACCGTGTTAAAATTGCCGTTTACGACCGTTGTCAAAACACTGTTGCTTCAACGTTATTTCAACGCTAAACCCATTCGGAACCCGCCGGATCTTGGCCGCGGTTTTCCCCTGGGGCCCAGATGGGTATGCCCGCCGGGTATCCCGTGAGGGTCCCACGAGGTTTACCCATTGCAAATCTTGCAAAACTACGTTTAAATTTGTAAAATTTATAGAAAAAGCAAATTTATATATAAATTGATTGATTTATTTCAAAAAATAGTAATTAAATTTACACTGTCGAAATTAAGCAAACTTTTAAACGATTCTTTAATTATGTATCGAATGCTTTCACGGTTATCTCGGGAATTGGAAGCTTTTCCATTGTTGTTAAAACGACTTCTTTGAAAACCTCTTTACACAATATCTCGTTTCAATATGAGCTGTAAAATAATTAAATTTAACTGTTAGTTTTAAATTTTATAGGTAACACACATTACATTTAATATGTTATAAAACTCTTACGATTTCTCCCAACACTATAGATAAAAAATATAATTTTCACCATCGAAGGTAGAAAAACATACTTTAATTTTATAATCGACGTTTATTTCAACGGTTTAAAATGTACTTGTATTAGATAAGCACATGCTTATGATTCATATAAAGAATTGATAACATTCCTTAGTTACTGATAAACAAATTATTTAAAATTATAAAATTAATATATTTTTTTATTTATATTGTATATAATTTGATATATACTTTATATACCTTATATACAGTGCCGTGGCTACTATATGTATAAAACGACTAAAAGGTAGCAAATTCCTCAAAATAACCATATGTCATAAGATTTGTCTGCTTTTTAAAACCTTTTTACCTTGACCATATTTTTTTGTAATTTCAAAACAATTATCACTTTCTTTAGCTGGAACAAAACACTCTAAACCTTGATAATTTTTAAACTGTAAACAGCATTTCAATGCAATGATTACTACTATCAAAATAAGGAATACTAAACTTCTGTTTATCTTGCTTGGTCTTAGAACAAGCTTTTTTATAAGATCTGAAAAAGTTTTGTATTTAAAAGAGGGACATCTATCAAGTACTTAAATTTAACTGTATTATTTCCTATATGTCCTAATGAATGGACATTATACACTAGTTGATCCTTACGATAAAGTTCACATATGAAACTGCACAAAATAAGTAGCTGAAAAGCAAAATTAACTTATTGTTTCAACAAAATAAAACAT